GTAGTAGTAGTAGTAGTAGTAGTAGTAGTAGTAGTGGCAGTGGTGGTAGTAGACGGTGGTAGTAGTGGTGGTAGTAGTCGTAGACGCAGAGGAGTAGTCGTAGTAGTAGTGGTGTTCGTAGTAGTAGAGCAGTAGTAGTAGTAGAGCAGCAGTAGTAGTAGAGCAGTAGTGGTAGTAGAGCAGTGGTAGCAGTAGTAGTGTGTGTGCAGTAGTAGTAGTGGTAGTAGTAGTAGTAGTAGTAGTGGTGGTAGTAGTAGTGGTAGTAGTAGTCGTAGTGGTAGTGGTAGTGGTAGTGGTAGTAGTAACAGTTGTAGTAGTAGTAGTGGTAGTAGTAGTAGTAGTGGTAGTAGCAGTAGCCAGTAGCAGGAGCAGCAGCAGTAGGAGTAGTAGTAGTAGTAGTAGTGGGAGTAGTCGTGGAGCAGTAGTAGTGGTAGTAGAAGTTGTATAGTCGTGGCGGTGGTGTTAGTAGTAGTAGCGGTGGTTTTAGTAGTCGGTAGTAGTTGTGGTAGTGGTAGTGGTGGTGGCAGTGGTAGTAGGAGTCGTGCGCGGAAGCAAGGTTTTGGAGGTTGTGATTTTTGAAGGGGTGGTGATGCAAGAAATGCAATTTGCATCAGTTGAATGGTAAGGTGTAGTTTTACAGAGGCCGATGGTAAAAAAGGCTTTTGTTTTGCAGCTGGAAAGACTCAGTTGGTGAGTCCCGTATTGACTCTGACCACTGGCACATGGGTGCCCTGTGCGAAGTCGGGCCACAAGCCTGACTTGTCTCATGTTGTTGCACGCGCGCGCCTCTTGAGCGCCACTCGTCGTCCAGTCTGTTTTTCACGAAAGCTAGCGAAGCTAGCTGGAGTTACTCTTGCGATAGCAAGGTTTCTTTCGATCGGGTGCAAATCCTAACCCCTGATTTTTCAGGTCGAAGCCCTCCCCCCCCCCCCCCCCCCTCCCTCTCCCCACCTCCCCTCTCCTCCTCCTTGTCTCCTTGTCTTCCTCCCACCTTTCGACTGTTTCTCTCTCTCTCTCATCCTCACTGTCTCTCTCATCTCTCTCATCTCTCTCTCATCTCTCTTTCATCTCTCTCTCAACTCTCTCTCATCTCTCTCTCATCTCTCTCTCATCTCTCTCATCTCACCCTCATCTCTTTCATATCTCTCTCATCTCTCTCTCATCTCTCTCTCCTCTCTCTCTCTCTCTCTCCTCTCTGTCTCTCATCTTTCCGTCTCTCTTCTCTCGCAGGAGGATCCGGGCAAAGAACCACATATAGAGGACTCTTCACCCCTGCCTCCAAAAAGAGCGCCGTGTTTTTTCCTACCTCGCTGCCCTCCACTTTCCCATTCTGGAGCGCTAGCTTTCGCCCCCCCCTTGGCCTCAAGTATTACTTGCGAGGCAACGTTGCAGCTCACACTCTGCCTCTCTCTGCCAGTTGCGTGTCTGGTCGGCGCAAACTTAATGACGCGTAACAAAAAATTGTTTTTGCAGCCGTGCGGACGCCTGTGCAGGACGAACTTCGCCCGGCAGAAATTTTAACCGCGCTGCACTGCACTGCAGCCCGCGTACGGGGCTCAGTTGCAGCGCTGTTCATGCTTTGCGGAATCATTGAACCTTAACAAATTTCGCTGCGACTGAGGTTTTCAAGCGGCCAAAAAACCAAGTGTTCGATTGGGCGTCGTGGCCACAAATTATGTTTTTCAAGATGCAGGATTCACCTTGCTGCAAGATTGCATTTTTTTGCAGTGTTTGTTTTGGAACATTTGTTTTTTCGTGGGTTGAGGCCATGATCGGGCTGGACGACATGGACCACATGGTCTTTGACGCCCTCGTTGCAGAGCAGGCGAAGAAGGACATGTCAAAGGCGTCAAACCATGTTGGCTTTTGGCAGCGGAAACCGCCAGGCAGCGCGAACTTCACAGAAGGAGGCGACGTGCCATCAGCTTCAAGAATTGCGTCTATTGAGATACGGGCCCTCTGAATTGTGTCTTTCCACTCACATTGGAAATATGTAAAATTTGGTTAGTTTTTAGGGTTGGTGTGGAATTTCGTTCCAGCGTTGGCAGGTGGCCGAAGTGGATGCGAACAACTTGCTTAACGCCCAGCATGAGTTCAGCATTCAGTTTTTTGTCTCAATATTCGAGGAGTCTATGCAATGTGAACGCAATCAAAAAATGCGGACGGTGCCAAAAGACAGTATACGGCATTCAAAAAACACAACAGATGTTTGGCCACTATCACCTACGTCAGGCAAATGTGTTTTTTGAGAGATGAAGTGGGCGCGACTCCGACATTTTTTTGTGAAGATGCCGGGTTCTTGTGAAGGTGTCGCAGTTTGCCAGCTTAGGATTGGGAATGCAGACGATTTGTTGCAAAGCATGGTGGAGGCAAAAAACACCGCGTTTGTTTTCAACGTTTCACGTTTCGATTTTGCAAAAAAATCTGTTGATTTTTGTTCCGCTCCCTGGCCAGTTGAAAGCAGCCATGGAAGTGAACGAAGCCTCCTGGATGAACGGCAGGAACAGTGGTGTTGGGGTGTCCTCCCAATTTTTCTTCTTCATTTTGACCTGTTGCAGCAGTCGAGTCATCTCGAGTCCATGAAACCTTTTGTGATCTATTGTTTGCATCAAAGAGTGTAAAGCAGCATGGAAACTGCAGTCGCCCTGTTTTTTTTCCAGCAGGGGCTTGATTTTCGTAAATTTGTTTGCTTTGAGGATATAGTTGTGGACACATTGCTTGTCAGTACATTAGAACTAGACCCCTTCAAAGTTTTGTTTTTGCACACCGAAAACATACTAGCAATTTTTTTGTCGCAACAGATCGCTGCCGAGGCGCTCCTGAAGCACGCAGAACATCAGCAAGTTGAATCAACGGAGCAGCAGAACGAGGACGAGAACAAGAGCTTCGGCCAATATGTCGAACGAGGGTAGTCAACGTATGGTTTGCTTTTCATTTGCAGAAGACCAAGTACAAGGAACGGCCCCACTTTGCCGATTCGGGCCCCTGAATCCTGTTTGGTTCAGCCTCGCTTGCATGGCGTCCAAAAGTAGCAATGATAATCCCGCTTTGAACATTGTGAAGGACTTGTTTATGGTGGCCCGGACGCATTGTCGGATGAGTTCAGACCTGGTCGAAAGAAGAGCTTGGTTCGTATTTCTGACATGGTGCATCTCGCTTTCGGCTGCCCCAGCCGACGGTCCTCCGGGCATCTCTCAGATGCGATGAGGTTGCTGGAAGATGCTTTGATGCCAACGGCGGGTCAGGCAGGCACAGAGCTAAAGCCTGCGATTTGGGACCACAGACCAGCTGGTCCTTTATGGTCCCTTTACAAAAAAACGCATGACAGGAAACGTTTGGGATACCAATTAATCAAGTTATCATTCTAATTAAAAATAGGATGGTTTTCGGAAGTGGGTGGTGCCGTCCAAGCCCTCAAAGCCACTGGGGAGGGCCACCTGGGGGATGGCTTCGCTTCACGAAGACATTCAGGGCACGACGAGTGCGGCACGTGGTGGGGAAGAGGAATCGATGACAGATTCATGTCCCACAACTGGAAGATCTATTTCTGTGGCACACAGAACTGCCCCTGACTGTCAACTCTAAAGTCCTTGGAAAGCTGGTTTGTGACCCCTGCACCTCAAAGAAAAGAACGCTTAGAGCGGCGGCGCGCGCTCCCCAGGCTGATGCGCGCGACGGTGCGCCGCTGGACACACTAGTGTCGGGACCGTCAGGGGCAATAAACATCGTTCAAGGGGCGATGCAGCAGTGCAGGTGGTGTGGGTTGAGTCGAGTGTTCTTTGTATTCATCAGGGGTGTTCAATGCATGTTCTGCCCTCAACTTGATCCGCAGGCTTTGGATCTGAGAAGCGTGTCCAGCCCAAGAAAATATGTTGCAAGCACGCGCAGAGTTCTTTTCATCCCATTTCGCTCCAGGTAACTGGGTTTGGACGCGGTCGGAAATGTGGACCTCCAATCAAAGAAAACAGTTAAAACGCTGAGGGTTGAAGCCGGGTTGCTCTATGGTGAGAGCCGAGTGTTGTTCTTGCCATGCCTGAGGTCAGATGCTCTCCCCTCACTTCCAGCACCGTCGGCGCTTGTATCGTCTGAGGCCGGAATGCCCCCGCAGCCATTTTTGTCGTCATGAATGTGATGAGCTTCAGTGATGAACTTCTCTCCAAAGAACAGGCTCCTGAAGCACTGTCAAGATTTTTCTCAAGCATCCAGCCATGTCAATGTCAACGTAAAGGTCTATGGGTCGTTTGGTCACGAATCTATAAGATTTGCTACGGCAACTTCAGACGATGAGTCTAGGTGGAAGCTTATGACTAAGAGACGTCACACAAAAACTCTACGAGCCATGACTCCAAGACACAGGGTACAGATCTACCTGGGGTCGTCATTTTTCCACGCGTCGTTTTTTGAGGTTCGCCACGTTTGTTCACGTTTTGGGGTGTTCTTGGGCATACCAAAGCCACTTACCGGTCCACCCCGGCCGAACGCCGTCCATTTTCAGACTGCTTTCAGCAGCAAGGCTCACTCCACGGAGCTGCAGGTCGATCATCAGCTCGATCAGCCCCTTGGGAAGCGATTCGCTGGCGCAACGACTCCCCACACAGGGTCCGATCTCATTTCACTGGGCCCGGGAAAAGAAAACAAAAGAAACAGGCACTCAATTGAGCTGGGAGCAGGTTTTTCCTTAGACACGGAGGGTGTTGCGGGCTTTGATGAAGTTGTGGCCCTGGCAGTTGAGGCAATGTTTGGGTGATCCGACCTCACCAGAGACAGCCGCAGGGCCTGAGCAGGCGAAACTTGGGACGATCGAATCGATGTTCTCAGCGTTCGCAAGTGACCTCACCTCACAGCAAGCATCACTGGGGTTCAATGGACCAGCTGAAATCACTTCTTCAACACCTCTACTCAAGGGTTGGTCGAGCAGCCACACAGAGAAGAAGCTTGGGAAGAAGCCCATTCTCGCTTTGGGGGACATGTAGCCCTTACAGCCCGTGGAAAATGTCCACACGAAACTATGGAAAGTGCGCAAACTTTGGTCAACATATGTAAAAACGCAAGTGGCTACCCAACTGGCTTGGATGGATGTAAGGTAGACTGTTGATGAAATTTCACCTTCCTACAATATTGGCAAGGTGGCCTGCCATAAGTTCTAAAAATCATCAGCACTACCTGACTTTTTGATCGGCCTATGGACCCATTTCTCTCATAGATCAATTGGAAAAAGACCGCGCAAAAATTGGGATCTGACATGGAAGGGCCGGCCCACGCGGCAGGCTTCAGATGATTTGTGCCTTGGCGGGCATGGGAGGTGCCATTGGTGAGGTCACTTTGGGGTGACTTTGGCTTCAGAGCCTTGCGCACAACAGTAGAAAGGATCACACGTAGTCGCAGTTGCGACTACGATTGCTGAACGCCTAACAGGTGTGCAAACTCCACTTATATACTGCATTTGTTTTGCTATTCTTTCTTCTTTTGGGACCGAAACCCGCCACCCTGGACCTCCTTTTTGGTTTCTGGGGTCGATCGAGCTGCGGGAACCGCAGCTCAGCCGAAGGCCCAGCGACGCCGCGCGCTCCACGGCAGCGGAGCACGCGCCTCCGCGCGCCGCCACGGCGGAAGAGGCGGAGCACCCCGCGGAGCGCTCCGCGGAGGAAGATGCTGAGGCCTTGGAGCGCACGCGGAAGAAGTGTGGAGCAATTTTGGTTGGCTTGACATGATTCTTCAGTTCTTCACCTTTCTGCGCGGAGCTGGCTGATGCTATTGATCAACATTTCTGGACCCGATCGGATGGGTTTACCTAGAGGACTACTATTTACATTTGGAGGATGTTCGTTCCATCATGTTCCATCTACTCTGAATCCTGTGCGGATGGGATTCGTTCGGATGGGTTAGAGCAATGGACACTAAGGTAGAAGGATGTAGAAGGTACAAACATGTTGCTCGGCCAGCTCAACGTGGCGGTTCCCCTTGTCTTTGGTGTTAAGAATGTCTACCACCATACTGAACAGATCTTCGGAGTGGGGCGTTTCCTGGTGTTTGTACATCCTTGGAGAACATGTGAGGCAGAGCCCAAACTCCTGAAGCACGTTGCAGGTCCAGGTGCCCCTCCCGCCCACGGAGAAAGAAGCGCAGCAAGAATCGCAGCTGGAGGAGAACTTTGGATGCGCATGGAGTTGTGTAACAACCCTGGGCCTTAGAGTTTAGAGGAGGTAGGTCCCATGTATCTAGGATTTGCTTAGAACATATTTATCTTAAGACTACAACCCCCCGCATGTCAGGATAGGTTTGTACCGTCAGGTGGGGTTTCATTGAAGCAAAGATGTGGAATCAGCACTAATTGCTTCATGCGTGGCCGCCTTCAAGACAGCAAGAGCTCATCGAAGGGGACTTGGTGACTTGGTGATTGAAGTTCCCTCAAGCACCATGGTTGTTGGCAGGTTCAAGGGGTCTCCGAAGTGTTGGATTTTCGGACTTGGCTTTCAGATTCGTTCTGATTTGGCCCTAGGCCCGGGGCTGATTCTCTGCCACAAGCACATGCTCATCCATTTGCGGAGGCGCCTGACCCGACCGGACACGCGTCAATATCGGCGCGTGTTCAAACACATAGCAGAATTGAATCTCCGTCACCTGAAACCTACATAGGATACACATAGGATACACATAGGTGAACAACACCCTTCATCTCTTCTTGGGTCCATCAAGTCGACCGAGAAAGATGTTTGGCCCCAAAGATGCACGCAGACCGAGCAAAAATGGTGCCGCGTGGCGCGGCCACGCGGCCATCACGTGTTTGTGCCTCCACACTGGATAGGCTGTGAGTTCTTTTCTCAAGGCGAGTGATGGGGCCCAAGGGCGAAGGAACTCCCAAAAAGGAATTCGACCTGCCGACATCATAAGAGTTTTGAGACTCAGGTTCAGACTCCAGACATATTTCATCTTCAGGTATTTCACCCGATTCCAACCAATTACAGATCCTTAGATGAACTGTGATGAACCGCAAAAGGACGCATCCCTATGATCCCTCTGCATTTGGAAAGAGTGTTCCTCTTGCAAGTGGTAAACATGCTTGATCATCATCGCATGTCTGGGCTAGGTGAATCGCAGATCATCACAGTGAATCCTCTTGTTTTGCTCGTGTCCAGCAATATACTGACAAAGACTTGGCTCCCTTGGGCCTCCTAGATTGGGAGCGGATGGCTGCCCGCAGGTGGCTTCCCACGAGCACGGGCAAGAGCCGCAACCGAGAGAAAAGGAACAAGAGAACTTTGGCACAATGGATGGCAAGGGCTTGGCTTGTGAGGGAGCTTCCACGTGAATCTATCCTCCCAAGATGCAACCCTTTCTTTGATCAAGCTTTGATGTAGCCTGATAAGACCGATTAGTAAGGTTCTTGCGACCTGGGATGAAGTCTGCAGGTGAATGCCATTTCCCCAGCTTTTTTGTTTCCCGCGGGAAAAGAACCCGTTTGGGGTGCTTCAAAGCACTCAAAGAAACATGTGGTGCATGAGACACAGCGATTCATCCAACAACCCACTTGCCGGTGTCGTTGTTTTGATCAATGGTTACACGACGACACCGCTCAACAACCCTGTGTGGTCAAGTCATCGTTTCTGTAGACTTTACCCCCGAACTAAGATGGAAGTGGAGTTCACCCTCCTGTGTGGGGTCTCCCGAAGATGGTCCGGTCTTCCTTGTGAAAACTGAACTGCCATCTACGTATACCATAAAACCATGTTCCTTCCAGGGAGTAACGCGCCACGGAATTTGCAGTTCCTGAGGCTGGTTTCCGAAGCTCCTGGTTCTCCAAAGATTTCGGCCACGCCAGCGGAAGCTGGTGAAGCTGAGCTGGTGCCTGCTTCTAGGCTTGGAAGAACTTTAAGAGGCAAGAGAGTCCATTCCAGTGGGGCAAATCAACGCAAATCATGCGCTCCCTTCATCAGTGTTGCTTTCGATTCGGAACCAAAGCAGAACTTGCAACATTTCTTGAGGAGATGAGGTTTTGAACGATATCCACATGTCATGGCGAGTTCAGTGGATCGGATGAAGGTGCTGCTTCGCAAAAGGAATGAAATTGATTCGCATTTCATTCACCAAGCCCACCTCACGCTTCCTTGGCTGCTTGAGTTTCTCTTGTGGACGGTGCACGGGCACTTGACGTGCACACGCTGCTTGCTTTGCGCTCGCCTAAGGATGGAAAGCCCAATCAGCAGCTCTCAGATGGCCAAGAGAGCTTTGGCTGTTTTTGGGCGCTTGGCACTGCTTGGCAGACCCGAGTAGTGAGCAACCATACGCAGCGGTTTTAGTGGATTGGTTGATGGGGGGAACTACCAAGACATAGTTCAAGACACATACAGATTCAATGGTATACATGGTTAAACCCCTATACCGCACGAAAAACCCATCCTATCCTTCCTTGACAAGAGAGAAAGGACCAACAGAACCAAAGGACCAACATCACTTTACTTTTCCTTCTTAACTTCAGTTTTTGAAATAAATTCTCACAGTGCTTCTGATTGCAAGAGGCTGTTTTCACAGGCTCTCTTCTTCCTGTTTTCACCTTCTTGATTCTTGATCCACTTGCCGAGGGCAGACTTGCAGACACCTTCATCGCCCAAGAACCAGACTCCGGAGGTGGACCCCGTTGGAAACTGGTTCGGATGGTTCGGATGACGAGCCTGGAATGGTCTTGGAATGCTGGTGCTGGAGCTAAACGAACGGAACCGGCGCTGTTGAGGCGATGTGGCCCCAGAAACGAGAAGGTGTGCCATGATTGGTTGCAGCGAGAAAAAACCACCTTTTTCGTTGTTTAGCAACGCACCTCGCATCATGGAGACCTTTCTGAATGAAGATCTGGCTTTCACCGAGAGGCCTGGGATCCAACCTTCAGCAGCCGATGGTCTGCTCCTGTCTGGTCGGACGTCCGCGATCGTTGTGATCCCGCGCGCCCCCCTGCGTCGCTGGCAATCCTTGCAGGCGGAGGCTGTGGAGCCTGGTGCGTCGACGCAGCAGGAGGTGGAAAGGGTCGAAAGGAATCAGCCTCAGCAGGCAGAGCAGCCAGATCAGCGGAACCAGCCAGATCAGCAGGACCCGCAGGACCCGCAGGACACGGCGACGTCGTCGACCTTCGGCTGCATATGGTCGCGACGAGTGTGGAGAGCCCTCCAAAAAGTCCTTGCCGGATCCATCGACGATTTTCGCTAACTGTTTTCATGTAGCTAACTCTTGAAAGCTTTGCGCGTTCTCGGGGGGTTGGACTCTTGAAAGTCACAGAACTTGACTATGACAAACATGAACATCTGTGTTATCGCGTTGGTGTAAAACTGTGGATTTGATCATCAATTCTGGGCCGACTATCTGTGTCAAGGGGCCTGATGTGATGTGGAAAGAGGCCTGTGCGTGCGTCGCCCCCCCAGTTCGACTCACGGGAAGCATGTGCTAAGCAGAACAGACAAATACCGATGTCACTCGGTGCTGGGGCGGTCACAATCAAGGAAACGACAACACTTGACTGGTGCGACTCGTAGGGAATGAGGGAAGTTTCGCCCCCAATAGAGATTCCTTTGGATCCAGCCACCCTCATTCCCTACGAGTCGCACCAGTCAGACACCGATTGGTTTGCTTTTTGCCTCTTCAGGTTGCTGCCAAAGACCCCCGGGCATGAAACCGCTGCACGAGAGGAGGCGTCTCGGGGGGGGGGGTGGACGGAAGAAGCAAATCAGTGCTGGACATTGAGCGCCACTGGCCTGTCGTTGCGACATTAAGAACTTGGACCCAATACCAACTCTTGAACTTCTGTAATCAGTGTAATGTCACCTTCAAAGTGCATATATAGTCATAAAGTTCCAAGAAGATCAACAACTCGTATCAGATTGGACCATCCACCTTTGCATCGTCCTTTTTCTTCCTTCCACCACCATTCCCACAGACCCTTTCACCCTGGACGTCCCCAGGAATTGGTTCTGGGAGGTTTCCCTCACACCCATATGTGGCCCCAGAAGCGATTGGCAGAGCAACCTTTGACCTTTGTGTGAAGGGTCAGGAAACACTTGCCGCCTGCAGGCGCCTCTTCAAGATGTCCCAAGTACAGAGCACGCGCTGCGAGCAGACCACCAGCGGCCTGGTCTTTTTGTTGTGTCTCTCAGGCTTCTGAGATCTTTTGAGTGGATTTGGAATTACAGTTACGCCCTTCTGATTCGGGGTTGAGCAACACAGGAAGGTGGAAGGTGATGCAGGGCTTCTAGGTCCAACGCCGAACGTGTAACCTGTTGAGGAAGTGCAGATGGTTTCAGAACAGATGTGCTGCTGAAAAGTTAAGGTAGCAATATGGAAGAACAGTGAGGATACCCCGCACAATCTGAGAAGGCCGCTTCCTTGTCTTTCAAGCAGGGGCAAAAGTACGGAAACAGTCAAACTAGCGCCTTTCCCATTGATTTGGGCAAAAGGTTAGGTTGGTTTTTTGTGGACGACCTCACCCTGACCTCACCCACCCTGACACTCTGCTTGCCCCTCTGAGGCACCTCCTGGAGCCTGACCCTGCACTGCCCACAACACCGGCGCAAGCGTCCGCGGAGGCAGCGTATGTTTCCTTTGCGCGGGCTGGGAAGGAATGGGTTTCCTGCAGGTGTGGACACCTATTGAGGAGGGCTGACCTGAAGTCGATGTCCAACCCTCGAACCTCCATTTTGGAGGTGCTGTTCACGCGCCTAGAACTGGCTCAATGACGCACCAAACACCAAGATCCTCGTATTCCATCCGTCAGACCGGTCACACTCGACCGGTTGACCGGCACCCGCGCGTTGATGGGGCACCGCGCGCGACGGCGTTGAGCCAGCGGCCGCAGTCGGAGAGGGTTCTTTGTGTCGAACCTGGCAGGTCACTCATCGAGATGCGGAGCAGCCGGAGCAGCCGGAGCGGCCAGAGCAGCCGGAGCAGCCAGAGCAGCCTTCTGGCAACGTACGGAGCAGTATTCTGGGGTGGGGTATGGAGCAGATAAAAGAGGCGGTGTTCATGACCAACGCGGCTTTGGGCTGTTCACGGCGCAAAGTACATGGAACAGTGGCAGTCAGAGGCCCCCGATACCAAAGGTTTTGAATGTCACGAAAGGTAGCGGTTACGCTACCTGAGTTTTCCTTTTGCTTTAGCAAAAATGTATTAACCCAGAGCTGCAGCCTATCTCTCGGAGAAATGGTCCCCGACATCTTCGTTTGCTGGCGGGGGGGGGGGGGCCCCCCCCCCCTTTCAACTCCACCCTAGCGCGCCTCGGGGTCAACCGTTCGAAAACACTGTACACTGTAAATATCAGTGTTTTCAGCTCTTCCAGTCCTCAGCAGTGACCAAAAATCATGGAATTTACAGCGTTTTTTGTGGCTGTCCGGCAAAAAACACCGCAAAAACCGATGGTTTTTGATGCGTATCGGTTAGAAAAATGACCGAAAAAAGACCAAAAGCCAGGAAAGATTTTGTCAGAAAGGGGTTTTGAGGCTTTTGGAGGCTTCAAAATTGCACAAAACTATGGTATTTACAGGGTTTTGTGCACCTTCTCGGCAGAAAACGCCGGTATTTACACGGTTTTCTGCGCTTTTCCAGCGCTCAACCGTGGTGCGCCTTTGGATCGACGGCTACAAAATACCGTAAATACCAGTGTTTTCAGCTCCTCCTGTCTTCAAGCGTGGCCTTAGACCTTGCCGCGGCTGTGGATCGACGGCAACGAAACCTCGTAAATACCAGTGTTTTTGAGCACGTCCTGTTTGCAAGCATGGCCTGCGGCCACGCAATTTACAGGGTCGCCGCACGTCACTATGTAAATCCGAAGTTGCATTTGAGAAATATGTGACTCCTTTTGAAGGCACGTCAACCTGTATTGAAACCGCTAGACCGCTACAGCTTCTGGAGGTTTTGTCAAGCGTTTGTGCATTAGTCTTTCTTTCATCACGCTCACTCACTTCTCTTCAAACAAGTGGGGGGCCTCTCACCTCCTCCCGGATTACGCCTGATTCCCTGCTACCTTTCGTTCACCCCCCTCCTCTCTCAAGTTTCAGCACTATGTGTGGGCAGAAGGCTCCTGCCGCGTTCCTCAGGCAAGTTGTGCTGACGCCACCGGCGCCACCGAAGGAGGGGATGGAGGCGGCTCCTGGGTTGAGATTTGAGGATCATCTTGATACCTCCCCTTGGAGCTTCTAGACCCAAACAGCTCTGTTTGGTTCACAAGGGATTTGCAACTAAATCCCGGCCCGACTGATGTTTTATCTGTTAAACCCTTAGCAGAAGATCTGTTCGGACATGTTCGGACAGGCTTTCATTCATGTCATTGAACACGCGATGTCCAAACATGTCAGGTTTACTTGCCCACAGAGTACGTGGTCTATCCAAGAACGGTCGGCCGGAAACAGACTTCTTGTTCTATCGCAGCACCCTCCAACAGGTGCTTCCTGGTGACAAGTCCGGTGCCCAGGTTCACCACCTGTTAGGGTCTCTAAACAGCCTGGGCAGGACGGTCCTGGTCTGTTTCTACTCCTTTTTGGGGGACGGTTGGAATGAAAGGAACGTAGGCCACGGAGCATTCAAGTGGAAAGCAAGGCATTGGAAAGCACGGTTCTTGCAAGGGGCTCCGAAGACGAGAGGAGGGACAGGGGGTGGGAGGGAGAGGAGTCAGTTCACGATTCATGCAGGTACACATTGCGCAAGGGCTTTTGGATGGTAGGACCTACCTTCCCTGAAACCGAATGGCATCGGAAACCGTTTGGAAGGCGAGACTGGCCACATCGGACACAGATGCAAGGGAGCAGACGCTGGAGCAGTCGATGGAGCCTTCTCAGCTAGAGACACTTGGCTGCGGGTGGGGCACTTGTGAGGGGATGCTGGTCATGCACCCTCCGTACAAACATGAAAGTGGACAACCTCCTGTTTGTAGAGGAAACTCGCCGGCACAGAGTCCTGGAAACCGACAAAATCCTTTGGGCGGTGGTTCGGGTTCTTGTCGTGATTCCTCATGCGCCCCCCTCTCGGTGGGGGAAACGCTGGTGGAATCGTTCTGGTGGCGGGTGAAGGGGTTCGTTGGTGGAGCTGGGGTTGAAGAGAGTCGGAGCTGATAGTGCGAATGGAATGGCTTGTTTGAAGTTAAAGCCGTCTCCAACGATGTCAGCGGGCCGGAACGTTGTGTTTGTTTTTGTTAAAAGGAGAAGCTCCATATTCAACAACAAACCATGTAGGCGATGCAATGTTGCTGCATCATGAAAGAAGGGAGAGTAGACTGTTTGGTTTTCACGAGGGGAGGCGCGTCATGGTACGTGGTCTGGCAAAACTCTTTCAACATGTCCTGACATCGAAGCATTTCAGGACATCGAAGACACCCGAAACATCCCAGGGCTGTTTTCATATCATCTTCGAAGCTGCGCTTCTCTGTGACCAAGGGCCCAGGCTCGCGGCAAGAAACGCATCAGTGTGGCATTGATGGTTCCAAGTTCGGTCCGTAGACATGCGAATTGCAAAGGATCAAGAGGGGACCGCTGAAAAACAGCCTGAGCCCCGTGGTCGGATCAGTTTGGATCACTTTCCTTGCTGGTTCCGACCCAAAACCCTTTCGTTTCATCACAGATGCCACAACTCCAAGGCCTGGGACGGAGAGCCCTGCATCAAGTCCTTCACGGGAGCGTTCAGCAGAGGCAGCAGAGGCAACAGAGGCAGCAGCACCAATGTTACATGGGACATGCAACGACCCAAGCTCCTTTGTCAAGGGGCGAGTTGAAACATGACGGACCATTTTTATTGTTTCGAAGGTAAACCGGTGTGTTGGCTGGAGCAGACATGTTTAGCCCCTAACCAGTCTGCGCGGGTGGATTTTGCACATCCCTGCAAAAGGGTTTCCAGAGTGTATTTGGATGTGACAATCCCGCATGTTTTGATTCCAAATGCTCGTTCAGGGATAGCCAAGGTGGACAACTTCGTTGCATTGAACAGAGGGATTTGTTTCTGGTGAACCCCAAGTGGCCATCTACCCCAGCGAGTTGGCGAGTTGGTGGGTTTCTCTCTCCAACAGGCCAGCCCCATGATGCTGAACCAGAAAATATCAACCTGATGATAGGAGAGGCAGCACTTGCCTCGAAAAAACACACATCACAGGATTGGGAACTATTCTTGCAATCGTTTTGTAAAGGGACGCAGGAAGTCCCAAATTCTTTCCTTGTTTTTGTAGATAAAGGGACGCAGGAAGTACCAAATCCCTGTCCTTGTTTTTGTAGATAAATTGGCGACAGGAAACACAAAGAAGTCTCCGGTTTCATACCAGGCAAGCCCTACAGATCTTCTCCTGTAGATCAAATATTCATTGCATGAGCGTGCTTAAGACTATTTGACCATTTTCGGCTCAGTCCTTAAGGTTGACCGACTTTCAAGCGCACCCACATCCCTCTCCCACCATCTCAGGGAATCCACATGCTTCTGTCAGGCTTCCGTGGCAGATCTCGGAGAGGAGATGGAAACAACGCAAGGAGAACATCCACAGCAAGTGCCGCCTGGTGGATGTCAGCGCACTCATTGGATCTCATCGGGCGTGTAACGTTGTCTCATGTTTTTTGGTACGGGAAAATGTCGGGACAAGGTTAGACACAAGGTTTCCTCATTTCCTTTCCAGTTCCTGTTTTCATACGAACTGGGAAGAAACTCCGGACTTGGGGTTGTTTTTGTTCGAGCAGGTCGAATCCTTTGCATCTTTTCATGGACAACATTTCAATGTGGGCTCTTCTTGATCAATAACACCTAACACCTTTCCGCTGAACGGAGGTTCTTTAATCCAGACAGGGGGGTACTGGGGGGGTTTGTAGACTCTTAGAGTCAGCGGACGTCTGACTCCAGTGTTTTCAGAGAACACACGGGTCCCGTTCCACGCAGGGCTTCTGCTGCTGAAGCCAGTTCGCGCGTGGTGGCCTCGCCGACCAGTCCAAAGACACCGCATTCAGCAGCTTTAGAGGCCTATGGGATCGTGTTCGAGGACTAGCAAGAATGGGGCCGCAAATGACCGAAGAAGAACACACACATGAGCAGGTCCAATGTCAGAGGTTCCGTGTCTGCGGATCACTTTTCACAAGACCAAACACAGAGTTCTGCCACATGCTTGTCATATCATTTGGTATCGGTGCGTAAGCCTCCGCAGTTCTGATCAAAAGGACGCTGTTTTCTTTTTTTTAGATGAGATGCCCGCGTTGACGCTGTGCTCACTGCCCACGACTTTCAACCTCCAAACTGGAACTTCCTTCGAATCAGACCGCAGGCAGCCTTGCGTGAGATCCAACTGAAGAAGGAAGGAATCGTAGGAACTGAAGGAACTGAAGGGACGCTTGGGCGGCACGGGAGTTTTTTGTTTGGAGATGCCCAGATGTTTATATTCAAGCAATCACAGATGGACCAAGGGGTCGGATTTGGATCAGGGGGGACTGTTGTGTCAAAAGGAGCAGAATGGACTAGAAAGGGGGGAATGGACCCGCCAGGATGTTGCATGAAAGCCAGGTGGATATTTTTTTGGGTTGTTTTCTGAACTCGACTGTTTGTCCCGAAGTCAGGGATCACCCTGAAGCTGCTTCTGCAGCCGAATTGAGAAGCCTGCGCTATTGGCTTGGCCATGTTTTGGCCATCAGACATTGCATTGGAACGAGCTACTCTAGGGCGGCGTTCTGCATTGTCCTGGCCAACTGTCACTTGGTTCGCTACTTTTGTTCCTACAAGGTGATCAACCTCCCTCTTTTGCCCCAAAGATTGCTTCCAACACTTAGGTAGAGTGCTTCACCAGCAATCCACGAAGAAAACCCCATTCGGTTTGTATTTTAGACCGCAGGCAGCTCATTTTAGACTCCTTTTTATGGTGCAAATGCACTATCAGGGCTATGCCACTATGCCGCCCAAGCTGTGGGCGATCCAAATGATGGTCGGATCAGTGGATCCTGAGGTATTTGTCGGTTCCTACGGGTTGCTAGGACCATACAGCTGTTCTGCGTCGTTCTTTTGAAGGCTTCGGTTTGTAATGGTTGTAGATGCTTTGGCACTTGAGGCCAAACGTGATTTCTTTTAAACCTCCCTTTGAAGGTCTTTTCCTTGTGGTATCTCTTGAAAGAAATTTGAACGCTTCGAAGGTCTTTTTTCTTGTGGGTACCTCTTCATCTGAACTTGATGTTGGCAGAATACAGCCCTCCCTCCTTGCGCCTCGCCAACATGTTCCAACCCAGCAAAGCTATATCCCTCTCTCTGAGGCCAGCGGATGCCACCAGCGATGCGGCTCGCTCTTTAAGTCCTCCTTCTCCCAAGGCCACGGGTTGGCGAGATGAAGAGTGGAGGACTGCTGCCTTAGGGGCAGCACCGGGGTGGAGGATGGGTGGAGGCACACGCTTTTGCCAGGGTGACATAGTGTGACATGCTTTTCTCGCTGCTCGGCAGCTCATGTTTGAGCTCATTAAGGCTTGGTCGAGGGGTAAAGAGAACTTTGGTGTTTGACTGTGGGATGGTGGAGCTCAGGTTACAAGCAGTTTTGCCCAAAAGGCTTTCGGAGTTTTTTCCATGCAGGATTCCACACCAGTTTTCAGAATCGCAAGCCAATTCCCTTGGAACAAAGATGCATGGAGCTACAGTGGTTTCAGAAGTTCCGACTTTGGGGTGAAGATTAGTTGGGAGGGGGAGGGGTTCATTCAATTGCTTTAAACTTCCTATGAATAGATGAGCAGGAAGGCCAGAGTATAAATGTCAACACCCAGAGCACCTTCCGGCAGATGAAACAGGTTGATTCAGAGGCGCCTTTCCCTTCGTTGTTTGTTGGAACCACTTACACTCCCTAGTCATCATGGTTACGTGGATGAAGAGGTGGTGCACTGAACCTTCCATGAGCCTTTCCAGGGAGTACCTCGAGTCTCGGGCTTCCCCCTATGTGACCGTAAATAGGACCTTACTGGGGTACCTATGGGATAGGCTATAGGGCCTATAGGGTCCTTCAACCTCTGTTGGTTGGTTTGACATGTCTGAAGTGACGCATCATGACCGACGTCGAGCTTTTTCATCGGTCCGGGTGTTTGATCACTCAGCGGGCCTTTGTAAACCAATTCGGGTTTGAGGCGGACTATGGCGGGCTTCTTGGGTTTTGGCATTTTGGGCATTGCGATATTTTTTGGGTCGACTTGCAGACGAGCGAGCATTGTCCTTCTGTAAGTGGGGAGAAAAAGGACCCTGTCAAATCCATGGATGAAGTACATCGTTCTTAGCTGGGGGGGTATATAGTGACCGGGTGGTTGTCGCACATTCTATCTTCTTGAGAATGAGTATGTGTCCTGGCTGTCCTGGTCATTGCGTATTCTTTATTGTTCCCTTAAAGGTATGACAGACATTCAGTTTTCCAGTGCTCTTGATTAAAGACCATTAGCCAACAAGGCAAAGCTACAGAGCATCAAAAAGGACACATGAAAAGATCTGAGTAAAACCCACCTAAAAACCAACACGTGCCACCTCACCGCTCCCCGCGTTTGTTTTTGTTTTTGTGTTTTCCAGGTCACTAGCAGGCGCCGGAGTCTGACACTCTTTCCGGAGGGAGGAGGGTGATTGATTTGCTGGTCTCGTAGAGCTTGTTTGGGTAGGGAAGAATAGCCGTGGATAGATGATTGCTACCATTTCCTAAAGCTTGCAGTATCATGCCCCTGTACATGTAAATTCAATCTGCCTTCTAGCAGCTAGGACCGGTTCCTAGTTACAGCACCTGACAGACCTTATCAAAACGCTAGCTTTCTCGGCAAGCTCTGCTCACGTGGAGCTCCAGTATGCTCCAGTGCCCAGATGTTCCTCAGTTTGGTCATTGGTTTCTTGGTGGCAGGTTCCCCTGAAGTTCCTCAGAGATCCCTGTCTGAATGTTTCTCATCTTTTTCTTGGGAAAGTCTGTTTGTGGAGAGCTCACGCGGTCCATTTTTGCAGCGATTTTTGAACGTAGTGGGGGCTGAACAGAGACACACCGAAGGCTTGTGAAAAGGACATCGGGCAAAGGGACCCATGGTGCCTTCTTTTTGGGTTTTGTGGCATGTGCAACCACATCGCCGGTGCCCTTTCACATCAGCCGACGTCGCCCCGCCTCGCTCGGACGCTTGGTCAGCGCTGAAACCCGACGGCGGAGGCCTCAAGCGGGCTCGCCCAAAACAGAGGCTGGCGCTGGCGCCGGGGGGCTGAGCGATGCCACAGCTTTGGCCAAGAACCCCTGGACTTCCGGGAGTCTTGGGGGTTTGGTGGGGTTCCGAATTGAGGTCTCCCGGGTCTTGGGCGGCTTCTTTTCCCAGGTGAAATCTCCCTGGCATCAAAGAACGATTCGTTGTTCTTTCCAGCCCAGGCCACCAGACCATCCTTGTACCCTCCAAACCCGATGGTCACACGACTCCATCAAGGTCACATCAGTCACATGCGCCGAGATTTTTCTGGGGCAAAGAGACTCAGATGACGGCGATCTTCGTCTTCCTTTTGTGGGCGGCATTTTGGAGGCCCTGGATTGATCAGTTGACTGTAGATACACATGCAACAAAACAAGATCCAGTTGAAGATCTCTTTCAGACTGCGCAGCAGCCTTCCCAGGATCCAACGACACCTGTTCTTCTTTTTGGAACACGAAACAACTTTGGGGGGGCGGGTTCTTCAACACTTCTGCCAGGGTGACTGGTCCAAGTTCGCTGATGCCAGCACCCTCCAAGTTCGCTGTTTTCTTTCCTGTCTTTCCTTGGTTCCGGCACCCCAGTGCCGTGGCTTCGTTCACCTCCCTTCTCTCCAGCCTTCCCGACCCGGATGGCCTCCCAATGGGCTTCGCGTCTTTGGTGCCACCCGAGGAGACCGAGGACGAGGAGTCGGAGGCGACCTCGCCGGTGGGGTGGGGTGGCTGTGAGCTGAGTGAAGGGCCGGTGGTGAGAGGTACGCGTCGTTCGTGAAACAGGCGGGCACCGAGGTGGAAGGAGATGCAACGAGGTCGAGGGAGGGAGGTCGGACATTGTATCAAAGTGTGGAATGAGGCAGATTTCAACCTGGATCTTCTGATCTTCCAAGTCTGCAGAATTGATGCCTTTTCGTGCTGAACAACCAGCCCAAAGGCAGACATTTTGCGGCAGAGTTGGAAGATCTATGAATGTCTCGTGTGTTCATTGTGTCCTTCTGAAAGACATCTTCATACTCAGTGCAGTGGTATGCTGACCCAGGACCAATGTTTTTGTAGAACAGGTTGAACTGGCCACAGGAAGCTGTACTGCTCCGGAGATGTGAACTGTGAAGGTAGGTGGTTGATTCATTCGTTTCAGTCCAACCAAGAGAGGTAGCCAGTCAGCGGGACCATAGGACCCCACTGAAATACCTATGGTATAGTCGAACATGTTTGGGTCATTCAACCTCTCCTGGTAAATCCCATGTCCTGACGGCTGGCTGGTGATGTAGGGCTCTCAGCCGTTCGTCATGTCTGTACGTCGCCCCCAGTCCCACGCAATCGCTGGTTGCAATGTGTAGGATGCATTGGTTAGCGTTAGGATGCCAACAGGGCAAGAGGAATGATCGGACGGCACCGTGAATGAATCCAATCCAAAGGCATCCAAAGGCATCCCTCAGTTCGCAGGGGGTTTCCTTCGGACCTCAAGTTTGGACTTCCAAGCATGTAGCATTTGGACCTGCTTGACGGCCCATTGTTACACAGATGGTTACACAGATGGTTACACACCACTGGTACTCACCGGTTTTGCCACATGAGGGCACGGCCCGCTCGTCCGGACATGAGATGGTACACTCAGCGCAGTCTCTTCAGGCTGCAGCCGGTCTAGCGGCACTGGTGTCGGTATGGGTGCCCAGTTGTGCCGGTCATGCATTGAAAGGAGGAAAGGAGGTCACTCCGCCGATCTTGCGTGACGAACGGGTGAACGGGGGTTTTCACACGAAACAGTCCAGGTATCCCGGGTTGATCTCTCATAGAACATCCATCTACAGTACTGTATACCTCCCACGATCTTTCCTTTTTTTTGCGATCTTGTTGGCCTCATTTCTGGATGAATACGGCCTCTTGAAACCGGCCTATCGCTCCTGCTTTCCCAGGCCAACTTCTCGCGGCGTGTGGCTGCGGGCTCGGCGGCGCAGGACGCCATCTCGATGGAGGAGCTGCCGGGCGATGAGGCTTCCCTGCCACAGGTGACTGGGAGGCAGTAGAGGTGGCTGGTGGAAAGACTAAGGAGAGGGGTGGTGGAAAGCCTCTGTGCTTCTCATGAGACCCCCAGAAAATCCCAGAAAGATCGAAGCAGATCTTCCAATCTCTCCAAGTAAGCCTGCGTTGCACACGCCACTTCGATTGGAGTACCTCTGACTCGATGAACAAGTTTGCTAGCTCCTGAACAAGAACATGCATGGAATTGTATAGAGCATCATGAAGCTTTTGTTCACCTTATGATGCTCAAGCTCCCGCTCTTCTTCTTCTTCTTCTTCTTCTTCTTCTTCTTCTTCTTCCATCCAGTCTGACCCAATGAAACCCGATCCTTTATCTGACTGAGTGTTTTTGCACCGATCATCTCCAGCAAAATGAGCTAAGCATGACCCGTAGGGATCTGCACGCTTAGCTTTCCGAAAGCCGTTTTTTTCTGAACCGGTTTTTGGCAGCGAATTTGCAAGCTCCTCCGCCAGACGCTCCGCGGTCGAAATCTGAGGCAGGCTTACAGCACCAGCACACTCGGGTGGCTTGGAAGAATGCGATCTGAGGGGCCCACCTCGATCTGGGGTGGGGTGAACATGCCACACCTTGTGTTGCAATAGGGGGACGGTCGACTGGTCTATTTTCCGAAGCTGGAAGAGGGGACGGGTGGAACTGGAAGGTCTCCCTAGTTTACTACACACCCGTAGATATTGCAAGGGAGTCAACTCGCTGAGCAAGACGGATACTGTATAGTTGTAGCGTCGGGGCAGCTTCGAGGACCACCAGTGGACCCTTCGATGAGGGGAGTGGGAAGGGCCCGAGTTCAGGTTTCAAACATGGGTGATTTTGGTGACCTGTTGAGTCGGGTACAGATTGTGGGCTTCTTCCACTTCACCAATGCGTTTTCCTGACTTCCGAACGGAGTCCGGACTTCCATTACTTCCATGGCTCGGATGTCTCAGCTGCCTCCCAAGCTGCTTTGATGGGATGATCAACTGAAAAGCCCCGCAAGTCGACCGGGAAAATGATGGAGAGACCGAGACCTCCGCCCGGTTTCCATTGAGAAGTGCCTGAATGCGTCCGCGTCCAGAAACCCCCAATGGATCTGAAAAGGCTCAAAACCCATTGAGAGTCACTTTCTTCGCCCTAGCTGTTCTAATACCAAGTAAAATATCACAACATATCGCGTGCAAGCCATCCCGCCAGTTCCAAGACCTAGCAGTTTCTTTTTTTTTAAATGGTTTCAACATAAGACCTATAGCAGTTCAAAGACCAAGCCATCCCGCGCTTGTGATCCCCCAGTCCAAATGAGGTCCTTGAGATTGACCTGTGGGTTGTAAGAGGGTCGTCCAAGAGGGAGAGGCCACCTGGGTGACTAGTCCAGCTTGTCCTCCGTGCCTGGAACCAGCTCGGTGCCTGGAACCCCTTCGCGACACCTGCAGATCCTGCAGTTCCCAGAATTGGTGAAAGGGAAGATCGACCGGAAGTTCGGAAGCCCATGGTCTTCACCCCCCCAAAACGACCAGGACCGTCCGATATCCGAGTCACTTGTGAGTTCGACCCTGTTGGAGGCCTATAGGGCCTATAGGGCCTATAGGCCAATGTTTGCCTAACTTGACTGCTTTTTAAGGGATGATTCCAGGCAGAAATTGATCACAGGCAGTTCAGATCCAGGTCGGAGTTTGCTGCAGATCTTCCCTTGAACTCCTCGGAACCGATCCAAGGCACAGCTGGGCATTCTGGCCGCTGGGAGGATGAGGGAGGTGGTTCAGATGCGGTGAAGGGCGGTTCATCATCCGGTTGCCACGTGGTTCTCCTGTTCCGTAGCAAGCCCTTTAAAAAGATTTCGTGGCAGGTGCAGGTGGTGGGTGCATGGGGTCCAGCTTCCGAACAGAAGTCGCCGTGTCTTGTTCGGAGAAGCCTCAGACTATCGAAAGCATTCAAAAACCGCTGATTTCGTGGCGGGTGCAGGTTGTGGCTCCAAAGTGCAAGTTTCGGTGGGGGGCGCAGCCCCCTCTTTCAATCTATACTAAGTGAACCGAACTTGTCTTCCGGTTCCTTCGCAGTTCCAACAACAACAACAACAACAAGGTACAAACAAAAGCTGCAGCCCCGTCTTGTTCCTTTGTCTCTACAAGGGGGTGGAAACAAAATCTGCAGCCCCGTCGTTGTTTTTATTGAACCCCCCGAAAACAACCAACCAACAAGTACTTTTACCAGTAGTGTTAGTGCTTGTGCTAGTGCTAGCACTAGTGGTACTAGTACTAGTAGTAGTCGTTGTTGTAGTAGTCGTGGGAGTAGGAGTACGAGGAGGAGGAGTAGTAGTAGTAGTAGCAGCGGTAGTAGAGGTGGTAGTAGTAGTAGTCGTAGTCGTAGTCGTAGTAGTCGTAGTCGTAGTCGTAGTCGTAGTCGTAGTAGTAGTAGTAGTAGTAGTCGTAGTGCTAAGCCTCTGTAAAGCTTCTACTTAGAACCTCTATCACATCCAAGAGACAAAATCTGCAGCCTCGTTGTTGTTTTTTGGACCTCCCCCCTCAAAAGGTGTTGTTGTCTCTACCCCCTCCTAGAAACAAAGACTGCGGCCCCGCGGTTGTTTTTTGGACCCCCCCTCCAGAACAACACCTCAAAAACACTAAAAACGGACCAGCCCAGACTTCAGTGAAACAAGTCCAACAAGTCCACCTACTTACGAAACCAACATTCGCTCAAACCTTCAACCGTATCCCTAACCTTGTCCCCTTGAAGTTCGTAAGTTACAACATGTGACAATTATGTTGGGCGGCCGTTTTTGTTTCTACCACCAACAACGACAACAACAACACCAACAACACCAACACCAACAACAGTTAAATGAGATGTGAACGTTTAGTACATCCCGAACTACAACCGCGGTGTCCCTGCTGCATATGTCGAGGACTTTTCCACTTCGGCAGCGAGTGACCGTCCCAGACTACCTTTCTAATTCTTCTCTTTCGTCTCCCCCGGCGCCGACGCCCGTGGTGCTCTAGGACAACCCACAGTACCTACTTCCAGCAACTCCCAGATTGATTTTGCTTGCCTGCGGATATGTCCCCACACCTGCACTGAACTAAGTCCCTACCGTTACCACTCCCTTGTTCTCTCACTCTCGTCTCTGCAAGTTTGCTCCTCCAGGCCGAAACAATCTCTGTTCTTGGGAACTGGCCCCTTGTTCCCGAGCAAGTGGCCCTTTGATTTTTCTTTTTTGATGTATGTGGGGAGATGTGTCCACACTGTAATGGTTTTTGTATATGGGTGTTGATCTAAATTCACTCATCTACGATCCATTCTTAGTCAACAAACAATACTTTAGCCAAACTTTCACCATTTCACATGCTATCTTTCACCAATCTTCTGACCATGTCTAGGAAGGTGCATAGACACTGGACAATCATATAATGTAAAGCATATCATGTCATTTGTATCATAGAATTGTATCATAGGCTTACCCATAATGGGCAAGGGGTACAGATGTGCCAGGGTGAACTTTCACCTTTCTTTAGCTGAACTTTAGCCATTCTGTCACCATTTTCAGGGTAGACTTCAATCTTTAGCAGTTTCTTTCGCCAAAAAGACTCTACCATTTCCAACAAAACTTTCGCCAAATGACATTTTAACATGTTCCAGGATCATCATCATCATCATCAACAATCCCTATTAGGGCCTTTGGATCGTGGACACTTTCATATCCATGGTACTCTGTCATATCGTTGTATGACTCTCTAGGCTCAAGTGGACACTGCATTCCGCGTATATAAAGTTGTGGGCAACCAAGGTGCCCTGTGACAGTTGTGGTTTTGTCATTTGGGATGACGCTGACTTGAAGTTGTAGCCCCTGAATTAGAATTAAGCTAGTGACTTCATGCGTGCGTGCACTGCATGCAGTTTACATGGAGGCCTAGAGCTGATTCGCACATGACAGAAGATTACGAAGATCCGGACTCCTCCCAGACTTCAGTGAAACAAGTCCAACAAGCCCACCTACTTACGAAACCAACATTCGCTCAAACCTTCAACCGTATCCCTAACCTTGCCCCCTTGAAGTTTCAAAGTTACAACATGTGGCAATTATGTTGGGCGGCTGTTTTTGTTTCTACCACCAACAAATGCGCCCGAACTGAAGAAAGGCCGCAAGTTCCCGTCGCCATCTGTTCGCAGCTTGACAAACGCTCTGGTGGACAAACTCCGAGAGAAGTATCCTGGCACCTCATGGGAAGATGTGGTGCCAAGAAATGCTGCTCCTGCTGCTCCTGCCGCTTCTGCTTCCTCTGGGTCTGCTACAGCACTTCCCCCGTCGAAGGGCATTGACGTCCAGTATGGATGGGCGGAGCTGGTTGGAAACGATTTTTCTTCTGCGCCAGAGTAAGTGCAACCTCAAGGCATCTGGGGCGATGTCCTGATGCGTCATCCTGCTCGTGTAGCTTAGGGAAAAGCGGCGCCCATGGGCCTGGGGACTAAGCCAGAGTGCAAATGCATCCTGGTTGTGACGAGCATGGAGGACCTGGGACTTTTGTGAAATTTCCGTATGTTAGTTAGCATCATCATCTTACAAGGGTTTTTCAAATTCTCAACCGTAATAAGCAACATCATCCCCACCATCACCCACCATCATCGTCATAACCCGCAATGGATTGCAGATGACAGGAGGATTCAGCTCCAGGGCGTGAGAAAGGACTTCCGGCAAAAGCTGGTGGGGAGCACGGAGAAGTTTGTCGACGAAGACTTCAGCATAAGCTTCACAACTTCTCGTCTCGGGAAGACGTCCAGCACAGGATCCACCTTGGACTCGCTAGACCAGACGTACAACTGGGTTCAGGGAACGTGCCTTGTGCGGGGATGGATCGGACCTTGCATCAGACCTGAGTATGTGGTGAGCACTGGAAAGCTTGCGTCTAACAACAACAACAACAACAACAACAACAACAACAACAACCACAACGATAACGACAACGACAACGACAACGACAACCACAACCACAACCACAACCACAACGACAACGACATCGACAACGACAACAACAACAACAACAACCACCCCCTTTTGTCTTTTACTTGTTGCAAGAACCACGCCCCCTGATAACAGCAACTTTTTGTTCTTTCAGCAACCTCCCCTGATAGCAACCACCCCTGTTGTTAGTGGGCACCCCAATCATTCCAACAACAACCCCCTAATAACAACAACCCCCCCTGCATATCGGGGCGGCTTGAGTTTTGTCCTATTACATAAGGGACATTGAGGGATATTGAGGGATGGGCCGTTGCTATCAAAAACCACTGATCGACGTGTTTTGCATATACATTTACAAATATATATATAATATATATATATTTACATGTCTCTTTGGTCTTTTGGCTTCTGAGCGGTTGCCACAAAACCGGCCAACTGTTAAATCATGTTGAGTCCTTGGCAGAGTGATGCAGAGTGGCAAAGCCACCTACCGACTTCCCATACATCACGTGAAACCACGACGAAACCGCAACCGCCAGCCACATCAGCCGATCGATTCCTCGGCGCCTCGCTCGACCAAGGCGACCACCTCTCCCGGCGCCTCGCCCAAAGGCAAAGCAGTCGGGGAACCCGACACCGTGGGACTCCTGGGACGCTGAGTGAGGGAAGCCGTGGGACGCTGTCTGGCCCTGGCTGGTTCGGTCACTAGCCTCCGGTCGCCAGGGACTCCAAACAGGTCACAAACTGAAGAATTTTTCTATGTGTTTCTCTGGTTTTTCTTTTGGGTCCGATCCTTGCTACATTTCCTGGCATGTCCTTGGGCAAGTGGAAGTGCAATCCAACTTGGTCGATCTTCACGGGTGTCGCTATGCTTCTTGGAGTTCCACCGATGGCTCGCTTCGTTAAGTTTATTCGATGGCAAACCGCACCATCAACAGGTGGATATTTTGATATATTTTGATATGCGTTTACTTTTTGCTTGGCTGATGAATAGAGCGGGGTGTACCCCAATTGTTAAAACCTGGTTTTGTTTGAAGGTGATGTTTTTATTCTCCCAATGGGTGAATCGCCTGGCATGGGGACTATATTGTATTGAATCCTGGCTTCCAAATCAGCAAAACCAAGAAACCCGTTGTTATGATTGGTACCTGGCACCGATCCTCATCGATTCGTCCCAATAGGACATTGTTGCACTCGATCGGACGTGGCGGAAGTGGCCAGTGGTCCTCCTTTTTTGGTGTTCTTCGTTGGCATCGTAGCAGATACACAATTGTACCAATCCATCATGTCGACTCACTAATTCAACCCCCCTTACCAAAATGGTGTTGCATCTCTCCTAGATTATATTTTGCACCATTGAAGCCCAGGAAATTCCTTTTCGGATTGCCGAAAGACCATTTTAAAGAATAGTATAGAATAGTCTTGGACTTCCAGGGTCTCCATAAGGAGGGTTTGATTCATCCGTCCCTGGTTTCTCACCTTGGCTTCTTGATCAACTCCGCCGTCCAGCCCACTTCCACTTCCCGCTTTTGAGCCTCCATTCAGGGACGTCGGCGGCGGCCACGCGTGTGGGCCTGAATATGCTTGGAGGGGGGGTGCGATTGGAGGCTGATTTGTTTCCACCGGTTCCTGAAGCAACTTCAAGGATTGGAGACATCCTGCCAGGCATTGCTTACTACTCGCAAGCGGATTGATCCTCCAGCATGCTTCCTGTGCAGCTTGATCACCAGGGCGCCTCGCAAAAAGAAAGGAACCCGCTCCATGCTTCCTGCGCAGCTTGGTCATGTTTCACTTGGGGTAGGTCACCCCTCAAGGCCCAGCAGAAGCAGAAGCTTGACCACAAGAACACAACAGACGCCATCAAGCAATCAAATGAGTACAGCTCAATGAGAGAATTCTCGTGTACCAACCTTCAAACACATCGATACACATCAGTCACTTCCCTTGTTCCTAGGCCCATCTAGGCCATACTCAGAGTTGAGATGACTTGGGAAGGGTCTCTATTGGAACACCGCTGGTCCTTGATGGTCTTGGCGATAAACGCGCGGCGAAGAAGGCGTTGGTCGTTGAGTCCTTGCTGAGGCCATGACGCGCTTGGGCACTCAAAAAGGGCGGCTCGGCTGCGTATGGCGTGGTGATGGGGCGCTGGTGGCTATCTGGGCCAGCTGTTGGGCCAGCTGCGTAAGGAGCTGCTGCAAAAGAACCTCAACGAAGCCCCATTTGGAAGGGCTTTTGCAAGTCTTCCGGGTTTGGCCATAGCATGCCGCTATGCCCTGCACTGGGGGCTTTGTTGAGTTTCCAGGTGGCTTCTTTTGATGGTTCTTTTCGGGGAGGCCGATGGAGTGAAGGATCCCCCCCATCGGAATCCGCGACGTCCGCCCAGTGGTCGATCCAGTAATCCTCCCATCCATCCGCAGTCGAGAAGGTAGGTGACAAGGGGACCCTTTGAGGGTATCTAAAGGTCAACCGTTTGAGGGTTGTGGTTTCCCAGATGGCCAAGGAGACTTAGAGGTCTCAAGTGGTGATCTATAGAGTCATCACGAACTTCGAACCTCCCGATGTGGCCAAGGAGACGGTGCTGGCAGAAGGTTCTATAGGAAATTCACTCCCTCTAGGCATTTGATAGGGCCCAAAGTGTATAGAATGCCTCTAAAAGCATCCAACCCAACAATGAAGGGTTGTCTTTGCTAGATAGACATCGATCTTCCATTTTGCTATTGTGTCCTTCTCATCCTTTAGCCATCCGCATGGTGCATGCGATACGGGAGAAGCAGAGAATCTCAAACCTGGTGGCCCCGGAATTTGGAACATTTAGGAACACTTCCCATTTGGACATCCTGAGGACTTCTGAGGACCATTGTATCCTTATTTTCCCGATGTGGACCTGCGTGGACCCTCAGTTTGGTGTTTTTTCAATTTTTTTCACTTGTCTGGTATCTGTGCGGGTCACCTACTTCAGGCTGAATCCCGAACCATCTCTCTACCCAGGATCCTGTGCGGGGCGCACCATGGTCACCTAGCTTTGCTCGTTTCAACAACCTCGTCTTCTTCACCTCTACTTCGGGTCGTTCGCCTGGACTCATCGGGGTCACTCATCGTGGGGACCGTCCGGACGAGCGGAGTCTGGTGTGTTGGGCCGTCCTTCCTGGCCTCCAGGGAAGATGATGCCGAGAGGACGAATGGGGACGGACGACGGGACGACGGGATCCGGCCGAACGACCTGCAACTCGGACGGACGCCATCACGGATAATGCCGCGAGGTGGGGACGGCCAGAAGCTCGTGGGTCGGAAGTTCTTGGACTTGGTCTGGAAACAACACGACGGTCAACATGGAAGTACATGGAAGTTGGACCAAAGCAAGAACCCAAAACGGAGATCAACTTGAAATTGACTTGACTGGGAAAGCGGTTTTGCTTGTTCAGTGTCTTGGGACGGGCAAGCAAGGGAACCGTGAGCACGTGAGCACGTCGCACGTCGCCCGGTTCCTCGTCAGTGGGCGGCAGCTGAGGGATGTAGAGGGTGGTTTTGTAAGACAACTTCTCTGAAGCACCTTCGATGTGTGGAAAAATCATGACACATCCATCAAGACCCATGCTGTGAGGGGAGAAAGGGATGAAGAGACGAAGACGGAAGCGCTTTCAATGATCGAAACCATGACTCAGGCGGTGTTCACCATGCCTTCGCTTCATGCCCAGCAACATGTCCCTTCGAGGTCGAGAGGTCGGAGAATCAATCACAATCACCAAGAAGAACTTCCAAACCCCCTTGAACCGTTTTTGGCGCATGCCAAAACGAACCACGATTGAACCGGAGGACTGGTGAGGAGGAGTATGAGGATGTAGAGGCGGCCGGGTTGAGGGACCTGCAGGGGAGGCCGGGAGGGCGTCCAAGAAGTCAAGTATGGGAGACTTGCCCCGTCCACTTCTTTTCATCGTTTCATCCGGTGTTCCGGTTTTCGGGTGAATTTGTTCACATGGATTGTTTTCCCGAGCCAGATGACCTTCCTGGCAGTGGGGAACATGTTTTAAGAGGGTTCACAAAGTGCGTGGACAGCGCAAGTCTTTGTCCGACTGTCGGACTTGTCTCTTTTGACCCTCACCTGCCGGTGTTTTACTGGTGGGTTCAGAGGTTTAGGATGCCCTGGTGGTATTTGGGTCGCTGCTCCGGCTGCGACTCCGAACGGTCCGAACGGCAGTGCGCGTATTGGTGGGTTGAGAATGGTTCAGTGCGGTGCATGTCCAGCCTTCGGCTGGTGCTGGGATCTACCAGCCTTCGGTCACCATAGCCCGGTCGCAATCTGGAGAGGAGGGGGCGAGGGAAGAGGAAGATGAGCGCTAGACATGTGAGATAGATGGCAAAATGATAGGGACTTGATGTGGCAGATGATGGATGCCCACCGGTTGTCCTGCCCTTCCTGACACCAATGAACAGTCCACATGAGAAATATTGCATGTAGCTCAGTGACCTGGTTCTTTTGCGCACAGCTGCACTTTCCATTTTGGGATCTTCCCATCAGGCGTTGGATGGGGCGAGCTTCACCTTCTGCTCCAAAACGTTGGGAGCTATGGGCTATGGAACATGAACCTGCAACTTGAGATCCTCAATGGACTTTTGACCTTTACTCAAAAAATCAGGACCTCTTTCCTATTTCAATGGACTCCAAAAAGACCGTGTAGGGACCTCCAGCGAAGACCTTCGCCGCAGCTGCCAAACGCGCCACTGCACGGCTGTGGCGGAGCACAGCCGAGCGCAGCCGGACGTCAGGATTCACCGTTGGATGTGGAGGACTCCCAGGAGGAAGGCGCCCGGGGGCGCTTTCGGCGATGTGGAGACCGGAGGTGTTTCGTTTCAGACGGAGGTGCAGGTGGAGGACGGGGGCCGTGAAGATGGGACTGGCTGAAGATGGGTCCCGCAAGGGTAGGTGATGAGTATACTAATGAGTAGTATAGTAGTATATAATGAGTATACTAAGGAGTAAACATGCAGAAAAAATGAATGAACAGTCCACCCCCCCAGTCCCGCCATGATCGGCTTCGAAGACCTCTTCTATCTCCCTCAATTCCCAAAAACCGCACGCACGTCTCCGTCTCCGGCCCGCTGACTCTGGGCGGACCCTCTGGACACGCACGAAATGCTCCGGACACTGTGCGGTCGCAACAGCACGAGGTGCAACGAAAGTGACAAGAACCACCATTAAATGGGACACTCCCAGGTAGAAAGCTGCTTTGAGCCGCCAAGAAGGTTGGTCTGCCAATATCTCCGAATGGTAACACTTCTTCATATGGGTTGGTGTTATTCATCAAGAGTCTACATCAAGTGTTGTGGAGAGTTCTTGCAGTTCTTCCAGTTCTTCCAGGTCCCAGTGGCTCTCAGTGCTGAAGGTGACCCAATTTCATGAACCCAGTGGTCTTGACATACCAAGAGAAGTCAAAGTGACCGTAAATAGGACCCCTACTGGGGTATAATATATGGGATAGTCTATAGGGTTCTTCAACCTTTGTTGGTAGTTCTAGAAAACTGTGGAACAACAAAGTTACCTTCAGACCCCACCCCACCAAGCAAACCTGGGTTCCAAGCGTCAAACAACAAAAACAAGCAACAAGCAATGTTGCTGTGTGCTTTGTTCCTAGTCACGAAAGGTAGCTTGAGCTACTGGGATTGTGCATTGAGTTTGGTCCTTTAAGAGATGATTCTGTTCGTTGGGGGGGGCCCCCGCCCTGGATCAAATCCCCCCCTGCGCCGGTTCACGCCGTCTTGGACTTCTACCAGGTTTTCTTGTGATTGCCTGCTACCTTTCGTTCACCCCCTCCTCTCTCAAGTGTATATATGCAAGTGTGCACCAACAACCAACTGAAGCCGGTGTGCGAACCCACCAAACTGACCTACCCACCCATCGCTCCCGGCGCAATTCAAAAGCAGGCGGGCGCCTGCGTCCCCGCATGAGCCAAGTCACCGCTGCAGCCTTGCTCTCGAAGGCAGGGGCGATCGCCGCACCCGGGCGACGCGAGGTGAGGATGGTCGGTGCCACAAGGGGGAAACAACAGGTGGGTGTGGAATGGTGTGCATTAAAGAAAAGACCCTCAGAAGAAGGTGCATCCAAAAAGACACGATCGGAAGAAGGGAAATAGACTAACACCCATAGTTGGTTGGGGTCCCTCTCTTAGAATAGATGCTAATCAGAATAGTGGCAGGGTCAAGCTGGCTTGGGTGGTTGATCACCTCCCTTCAGTCCCCGTTCTTTGGGGGCTCTGACGTACGTGGATCACCTATCCGACCAAACTCATTGAGAGATTGGATGGGATTTTCTTCTCCACCCTACAAGAACCGCAAAAACAAGAACGTGTGGGGAGTCTGTCAGAAACCTTTGTGGTCATTTCTGTGGATTTCCAGATTTTGTGGAAACCCAGATTTTCCACAGAAGTCTGAGCGAGTCAGACACCGTGGCTTTGGTGTTTTTCACATTGTTTCACTGATGTATTTGTCCTTGAAATTTGAAGACTGATAGCCAACCTGGGCACACCTAGTCGCCCCCAAGACCTGCAAGCTCTGAGCTTCCTGTTCTTTTGCCATCAGTTTTTGAGTTGTTTCCTGGCATCCTTCAGTGTATAGGTGTACTATGGTGTACCCTACTTATACCACCGATGAAGCTTCTTCCCCAGTCTCAGTCGCAGAGTCGGCTTTTCTTCGCGTTCCCGCTGAGGTGAAGGAGCAGGGGAGCTCCGATGTGGTTCACCCAGAGGTTCTGAAGCTGCAGAAGCGGCTCAAAGAGGAACTGGAGCAGCTCAGAATCCAAGGGATCGACCGTTCTTCGAAACCCCTTTTCGAGGGGTGGGGGGGGGGGCACGAGTGTGGTGAGGGTGGCACGGAAAGGAAAAGACTTCGAGCTAGTTGGGCGGCCCGGGGACGCTCAGAAACTGGGAGTTCGATGCTCTGACCCCTGGTCAAACGGTGTAACTAAGAGCCACTGATGCGCAAGACGTGGGCACGCGCTTCAGCTGCTTGGCCGCTTCGCGCTGCCAGGGCAAAGATGCGAACTGCTTGGGCCCTTGTAGGGCGTATACTATCGGCATATAGCAAGGCCATGAAGGCTTCCGATACCACTATCGCAAGCCCAGGGAAGACAATGCATGAATAGATAGGATATGATAGGACGAAGTTATCTGCACATGTGTAGCACACACGAGGGATATGTCTCGTTGGTGGTTGTACAACATGTTTCTCAGCCCCCCCTCATTGTCTGGGCTGGTTTCCTGGCCCCAGCCCAAACATACCTTCTGCTGAAAGAGGCAGGCTTCGCGGCAAAATGACCTGCGTTATACCAGGACCAGCTGTCGGTTGGTTGATGGACACCCCTTAACCATTATGGGGCGATAAATAGACAGCCCTAACAGGGGGCCCTGGTACGCATTGACATTCATTGACAGCTTTTGAGGGTTTTGACGCCTGGGTCACCGTTTCAAGGCAAGAGCTTCGTGCTGAGGAGGAGGACGCGCAGGCGCCCTCCGTGTGTTCGAAGTCCGTGCGTTTCTTGCGACAGCGTTCCGGTCCATTCGGAAGCCCGGGCTTCCCCTGCCACGACTTCCCCTGCCAGCGGGGAGGCTGGAGGTCCCAACTGTTCGGTTGGTCAGGACCCGACTGTTCTTCGACTATCCCAGGGTTGGGTACTCCAGGTCACAGGTCCTATTGACGGTCACTTAACCTACCTCTCTTGGTTTATAAGGTCACTTGTGTGGTGCAAGGCTCTGCACTGCCAAATGGTTTAGGCCTCAGAGGGCCAGCCCAACCTCAAACAATTGGGTCAGACTTCTGCAGATGTTCCCTGAGATCTGTCCAAGTGCGAGGGGGGCAGGAACCCGGACATTCAGATGTTTTTTTAGTCGTTCGTTCATGCGTTGTGACTTGGAAAGCTCAACTCATGTGGTGTGCAGCGTGAACCCATGCAGAGTGCAGTTCATGGCAGGTCTCCAGGGAAGAGCTGGAAGCCAAGGTGTCCTTCCTGCAGGTGCACTTGGAGGCCCCGAACACCGAATCGCCGCGGAGTCCGTGCCTCGCGCAAGCCGTGCCTCGCGCAAGCCGTGCCACTCAGGGCGCCCGCGGAGTCCGCGAGAGCTCGGGTTCAAGGGATACTCGAGTCGGACTCCTAAGGGGGAAAAACAAACCATCGTTTTTGTTGGGGGTAAAGGCACGGATTGATTGTTTGGAGAGTTTCCTTTCAATCGATTCTATTCATCAGTCATGATGAGTTGGGTCTTGCAACATTTGGAGCACAACTTTGGTTCACAACTTGTTCACAGAACCCCCGCCATTTCTGAGTCTTGCCAAGGGTGAACTGATTCCAATCAAAACCAGGTTTTGTGTGCACACTGGAATTTGCAAGTGCTTTTGCTGGGATTTGGGCTACAATCAACAATCAGAGCGGCCATTTTACAAGCGTTCGAAGTCCAGTTCCACTTAGATTTGTCGTGGTTGTTGTGGTTGGGGCTGCACCCAGTCGCACCTACCAGTCCGGGCCAGCCAGGTTTCGGTTTCAGACACGTCCGAACTGACCAGGTGGACCTGTCGCCAGACCCTTTTGAACAAGTGTTTGATCTCTCGGACCTCTTGGACGGACCTTTTTAGGCTTCCTGGCCCATTGAAATAGGCTGAATCTGGAATCGCCATTCTTTTGTTACTAAGGATCGTACACAGCGAAACCAGGTCATGCAGCCATGACTTCTTAAAAATGCTCTTGGAAAGCTACGGGGGCAGATCCGTTCAAAGAAGGAGTGCGAGGGTCATTCTGAAGTCGCTTTGAGCACTGGCTTTGATGCTCGAGGAGGACTCCAGGCTCCACTCTGTGCCTTCAGGGTTTTCTCTATTCGGTTACGCGCCCAGAAAAAAACACCAGAAACTTGTGGTACCCCGGTCTCACCATTCACCTGCCGTGATTTGTTGTTGTTCCGGATAATCAAGTTTCTTCGATTAAGTTTTTTCATGGATGAACGGGTATGAGGAACGCCGGCAGTGTCGCCACACGGAGAGTGAGTCTTGCCCAAAGGGTTTTTGACACTCACAGCTGCCAACAGAGGTTGAAGGACCCTATAGCCTATCCCACACGTACCCCATTGAGGTCCTATGAACGGTCAATTATATAACCTCTCTTGGTAGGGTTTTGCACCTCAAACATGTCGCAGTTGCATGTGGCCTAGAGTCACTGGATGTGAGTCGTGTGTGTGGGGGTTCGATGGCCCAGGCACAAGGGCTGTTAAAGCCCAAAGATGCGGATGACACTTGGTGGGAGGATGCAGGGGGGACCAGGTGGAAGAAGTTGGTTTTTGGAAACCCTACCGGGCAGTTTGACCTCAGTGCTGGAGTTGGTTATACAAAAACAGCATGAAACAGGAGGTCAGGCAGACCAGGTGGGGACCGTGGACCTGGGTGACCACGAATTCAGCAGTTCGGTCGGTCGCCCGTTTGGACATGTGGGTGCGTTTGTGAATAGGGGGATCCCCTTTCTCGCCCCTTTCTCGCATGGGTAGACTGGTCTATGCTTTTTTTGAATCGAATTCAGCGGTTCAGAACGCCTGGGAGGTCTCCCTTTTTTAATAGGCGCCCATGTAGCTTCGGGAACTTCGTTTGAGACTGTTATTTTGTTGTTAGTTGTTACATGTAGCTTTCCCAGCACCCTGTTGACCCCCGCAAACGACCAAACCCGACTTGAAAAGACCATCACAAAGCATGACCCAACCTTGCTCAACCTCACTTCAACCTCACCAGTTCTCATCAGTTCTCACCAGTTCTCATCAGTGTTCTCACTTCCACCTCAGAACCTCTACTTGATGGCCTTGGCGGAGATGTCGGGCGACAGCGTGGCCGCCGGCGAGTTCGCGCGCCGCGCGCTCTCGGAGAAGCCGTCCGAGTCCTCCGAGCCGCTCGGAGGTGGAGGGAGCGGAGGGGGGGAGCAGCGGGGAGGCTGGGGAGGTCCAGGAACCAAGGTTCAGCAGCCAGGTGCAGTGCTGAAAAGCATTGAAGCAGAGGCTTATAAAAGCCTGGTAGCAAAAGGCGCCTGTGTGACTACAGATCCCCCGGATGGAATCTCAAAGAGAGATCTCAATGAGCTACTTCAGAAAGTGCACAAACCGCGCCACACGGCACGCGGCCGATGGTAAATTCCTCTTCGAGCACTTCTCGAGCTCTCCCTGCCATGCCATCATCTTGGATCGCCCAAACGCTTACCCATGCCCGTTGCGCCAATTCCGCTCTCGCTTGGACCAGTACTTGAAGGAGGCAAGCAAGGGTGACACCAAAATAGGCCAAAATCCATCAATGATCTCACCGCCTTCGGCTACCTGTAGTCCGATGACGGCCTGGCTGGCCTTCAACCCGGCTTTGGAGTTGGTTTTGGACTACTTGGAGCGCGCTTGCAGGGCGCCGGAGTACCCTTGCCATCCCTTGCCTATATGGCTTTTCCTCTTTTCTTCCATTTGCTTTTCTCCTCTTTCTTTCTTTCTTTCTTTCTTTCTTTCGTGCTGCTTGACCCGATCCGAGGCCACTGCAAAGCCCTCGGTCGAACTCTTGAACAAAGCCGCACACACACTGAACATCCTTGGCTTCGACCTCGAGATTACTTTCGTCCGAGGCGATTTGGTCTTTCACCCCATCCAGCTCCCCCATCCATCTGGGAGGCCTATCAGGGGAATCGTCCGCGAGGGCACCGACCATCAGATCTACACTTTGGCTTTGACTGGATACACCTGGGGCATCCGGCACATTCGCAAAGAGAAGGAGTTCCGTTACCTCTGTTGCACGGAGGAAGGTGTGGAGCCCGCGGACGATGCACAGCCCACCTTCCCTTGGCACCTCTTTACTGGACCCAAAGACATCATCCTGCAGGTATTGAACGACCTTGGGCCCTGACCCAGTTCCATCTACCGCTTGCCATGAATGGCTTGACGACATCAGACCTCTTCCGCCGATGCTCGAAAACCTGCATTTTCCTGTTTCCTGCTCTTTCCTTCCCACTTCGTTGCTTTCCCTTCTGTATACTCTTCCTCACGCCGCCGTTGTAGTCTCAAGCACTATACTACCTCCGCATCCTGCCCGCTCCTCGCCATGTCGCGCCGCAGCCCTTCCCAGTCTCACCTTCCTCCAGCAGCACACAGCAAAAGCCGCGCCGAGCCACCGCGCCATCGCTGCCACCTTTGCTTGCGCTCTTTTAGCTCCGAGTGGGGCCTGCGGCAGCAGATGCGAGACAGGCACGGTGGTTCTCCAACAACAGTCGGGGTGGGGACTCGGACCCTGCAGTCACTGCTGACCGTCGCAACTCAGTTGCTCGCGCAGGAAACGATCCGTTGTGATGATCCGTACCTTTTCACAGCCATGTCGAATGGACACTCCATGGCCACTCCTGAGCCCGACCCCACCTGCGCGGTCTCTCCTGACCTTCTTATGCTTTTTCAATTATTTCATGAAATCTTTCCCTTGACCCATGCAGCAGCTACCTTTACCATATCCCACGCATTGTTTTAGTATACTACCATACAAAACTTCGCACTCAAAACTCCGCCAGGACTCTCTTCCTTCGCCGCTATTCGCCGCTCCCGCCTCGGAGGACCTCTTCTCCCACAATCTACGTGTTTCTTTTTTCTTTTTTGCCAGGCTGCCGTCCATCCTCCACATCGCCATGCGACCCGCGCTCTCCAGGCCATGTTTCCGTTTTTCTTCTCAAGCCCCTATGTATCTGGGCCCAAGTATCCTCCAAAACCATTTTTCCACCAAGGATGGCCCTCGGTAACTCTATCCACCTCTCAGGACCGTCGCCCCACTGATTCCCAAGCATCAACTCCTATGCAACGCCGAGGCACGTTACCACCCCCGTTCAAGTTTCATGCTTCCGTCCCCCAGCAAACATAAAGCCTCTCTGGGTACCACTGCCTTCTTGCGAAGCCGCCAGCCACCCTCCGCCTCGCCAGAAAACTCTGCCATCCCCTGTTTCACGTCCCGCGCTGCAAGTCGAGATGGAGGCGCCTCCATGTGGCTTCATTGGTTTTGTTTGTCCGCCTCCCTGACATACATCAACCCTCACGCCCCTTCCCCATCCCCGCCCTGTTGCCAGGCTCCCGTCCGTGCTCCTCCTCGCCATGCAACCCCTCGCGCCATGCAGGCCATGTTTCCCCTTATCTTGCCAGCCCCAACATTTTCGCGAAGCTCAAGTACTGTCTAAAGCCACTTTTCCACCACAGATTGGAACCCTTATCAATGCGCGCTAACGACCACTCTGGCTGTTTTCAGGACAGCCTCCTCAATACTTCCCGAGCATCGGCCCCTCACGTTTGGAATGATTTCGACCCGTCCTGAGCGCACTCCCATCCACCAAAATCGCCATTTCAGCTGAGACTTGTCACGAACCTCGCCGCCTCGCGGTATTCTATGGTTTAAAATGCGTTCTATGAACCAGGATTGTCGACATCGACGTCGACATTTTGAGCATTTCCGCAGACGATCTGCGCCCAATGCACTGCAGAGGGTGATTTTGCTGCGCAGGTGCAGCGTTTCGTGAGATCCTCAGTTGCTTCGATTCGCTGTGTCATTGCGATTGTCGTTCACAGGGTGTTTCTTTTGGAGGTGGACGTCGCTGTGACATTGCGATTTACGTTTCAGCCAGCGCTAGGCAGAGAGTGCCCTACAAGAATGTGCTTACGCCCCGCCAGAGTGTCAAACAAAAGTGTCCCACAAGGGTGTCACCCAAGTGTCCCACCAGTGTTCCCACAAGAGTGTGTTGCGCAAGAGTCTCGCGCAATAGTGTCCTTTGCGTTGTTTGCCCTTCCCTTTAGGCAGCCAAACAAATCCAACGGATTTAGGGGTGGTCGAGCTGCTGCTGTGCTTTCAATCCCCAAAGATGCCTTGCTGTGCATTGTCGCGATGAAGACCGTCGTGCTCAGCGGAGACCTCATGCAATGGGTGCTTGGGTCTTGCCCAGTTGGCGACGAAGAAGGGCGCGCCAGTTGCGTAACGGGAGCTGTGCTGACGCCGTGTAGAGTCCCGAAAGTCCAATTCTACGACGCCAGTGGGCAGGCATCGCTCCAGGCCAGCCGCTGCCGTTGGCTGTGGGTCAGGGTTACACGCGCGTCTGGACCAACCCGGAGGGTGGACCAGAGCAGAGGAATTCCGAGGGCCGCTCGCCGGCTTCTGAGAAAAAATCGATTTCCACGAGAGATGGCCAAGTCAGTCAAATTTGGCCTCAAGGTCGACCACCACCAAGAGCAACAAACGGCTTGTCAACAATGCAAAGTTGCCGCGTCTCCGTGACAGGAACTTCGGAGATCCTGACCACACGCTTGCCAAGAGAAACGAGTCAAGCACACACTGCCGGCTCACCAGGCATTCGGCGCAAGTGCCCACTGCGCTCTAGAGTTTGTTGAGGTCCGGGAGTGCGCTGCGCTCTGGAGCTTGCTGTTGAGGTCCGGGAGTGCGCTGCGATCTTGCGGTTGCTGTTGAAACCCGGGCTGCCCACTGTGAACTGTAGCTTGCTGCTGTTGAGGGTCCAGGAGTGGCCTCTTCAAAGGCTGCCTCGTCGAAGTCCCGACGGGCGAAAGGTGCCATGGTTTCTGGCTGATTGACTCGCCAATCGAATACTTTCACGTGCAGTCATGAAGACGCAGTCCTTGCTTTCCGCGGCCTATTCCATGTCCATGGTCTTCCGTCATCTTCCTGGTAGCCGACCTCAGGGACAACTGTGCTTGACTCCTCAATTAATTCAGGAATCATAGGAAAAACATTCCCCAACCGTTCTATGAAGCGTGGCCGAGTATCCGCGACCTGCCACGGTTAGCCCAGGTCCAGTTGGTCGCCGCGCCACGCGAAGGAGATGCTGTCGCCATCCATGAGGCGCGTCGGTGCGCGTGCTGCGGCGGAGGGTGGGACACAAGTGAGGCTGACGTGGACGTGGGGATGGTGAAAAAGAAATGCAATCGTTTAAGGTTTAGTTTAGTTTTGGCCACGGTGATGCGAAGGGCCCCCCATTGACATTGGGGTTGGAGCTGTGCAACGGATAAAGAAGAACTATTGCATGATTCTTAAAGGGCATCAGGAACGCAGGGTCCCCTGTAGAGTGGGCACTCTTGTGGAACACTTTTGTAGGGACGGCCCTTATGGGACACTCTTGTGGGACACTCTTGTAGGACACTTGTGTGGGACACACTTGTAGGACACTCTTGCAGGGCACTCTTATGGGACTCTTGTCGGACACTCTTGTGGGACGCTCTTGTGAGACACTCTTGTAGGACACTCTTGTGGGTCACTCTTACAGGACACTCTTGTAGGACACTCTTGTATGACACTCTTGTTGGACACTCTTGTGGGACACTCTTGTGGGACACTCTTGTAGGACACTCTGTGGAACACTCTTGTAGGACACTCTTGTGGGTCACTCTTGCAGGAAACTCTGGCGGGGCACTTTTAGGCACTCTTGTGGGTCACTCGTGTAGGAAACTCTTTGGGGGATACTCTTATAGGACACTCTTGTGGGTCACTCTTATGGGACACTCTTGTGGGACACTCTTGTGAGACACTCTTGTAGGACAC